GAAGTGGGTTACATTTTGCATATGATTTATTACATGCTGAAAAACTAGTTCATATGCAAGGACTCTCAAATTATGGCTATCACACCTGTAGCTACTAGTGTTATGGTCCCAAATTCTATCATCTCAAAATCCCACCTCATTCCACAAGATCTGTAAAATGGTTTGTTTAAAATAATGTTTATATTCTTGTGATTTTTACGGTATTATTGTATACAATAATACCATTGCATACAGTACATTGTTTAAACTTGTTTTGTGTCCCCAGGACACAGTTAATTATAAATTAACTATATTATAAGGATTATAATAAGGATTATAATATTATAATATAATATAATTATAATATTATAAGGATTATAATATTGATATATTATATCAATTATAAGTTAATTATAAAGTTTATAAGTTATTTATAATATTTATAAGTTAATTATAAATAAATATAGTAACATTCTCAAGCTGAGCTTGACTTCAGTTGACTCTATTATTTTTTTTATCTCACTATGGAAATGATGTATGCCATTGCCTTCTTCTAAGAGTATTATTGTATACAATAATACCGTAAAAATCACAAGAATATATTTATAAGTTAATTATAAATAAATATAGTAACATTCTCAAGCTGAGCTTGACTTCAGTTGACTATTTTTTTTTTTATCTCACTATGGAAATGATGTATGCCATTGCCTTCTTCTAAGATGTTTCTGACTTCTCAGTCAAGCCCAGATGGTCTCATCCCAATATTAAGTCACTTCTGTGTGAGATAGGTGGCTATACAGATACAATAGATAAATAAATTAATTAACCAGGTTTGGTTCTGTTTTGGTCAGCCAGATGCTGCCCCTGCTGAGACTAATTATAAACACTTCTCACTGATTGATTATGATACCAAAAATACATTGATTCTAAATACCACTACCGTTACCAGGAAGCTGCTTTAACTGAACCAGACCATCAAGTCAGTCTTCATTTCAGTTCTGCCTAGAACAAAAAAAAAAAAAAGATGGGCCAATTTTTTTCCCTAGCCTAGAGCAACAAATGGTATCCATGACCCAAGTCAAGTCAGACAGTACTCATACCCAGCCACACTTCTCAGTATGCCTATTGCATGTTGTGATATATTGCATATTTGAAAATCCTAAAATCCCACTTCTGTCTATCCTTGCTAGTAAAAATGCAGCCATGATCAATTAAACTAACAAAATGCTGCTATTTCCTAGCACTCAAAGTCAGTTGCCTGAGGCCGCTGCTTCATTCTACCCAACCGCAGAGCCATGAGGAACAAAATCTTTGTTGCATATTGTGAAAAATGATCAGGATTGCTCATGATTTATGAGTCAGATGCTTCTGTCAATTACATCTTATTTGCTTCTCCCTCTACTCTTTGGTACCCATGCAGTTAAACCTGTACAATGCAAGTAATAACTTTACAAAAAAAGAGTAAAGGCCTCAAAGTGAAAGAAAGCAAAGAACTCTGTGGTCCCTCCCTTTCTCCCTCCCACTTCTTTTGATAAGACTTCTGTAAACATAGACAAGAATTTATATCCCTTCTTCCCCAACACGTAGTCCTGGGGTCCTAGTGAGGGTATTTCAAGGTAGCAAAATGAATGGGAAACATTCAGTGTGATTTAGGAGGGCCTGCACAAATAAGGACCTTCTCTTTAGTAAGACTGGTAAAAAACCAACATACTGTCTTCAGGCAAACTGTAGACCTTATAGATTTACTAGTTATGCTTTATCCATTGCTTCATTCTCCATTCTCCATGCATGAGCTCTGTGGTACTAAAATGTAATTGCATGATGCCAAATGCTATCTGAGCCAAATAGAATTTGTGATCATTATTACCTCTCCTGATGTTATTATCTATGCTCAGCTGCAGCTTCTTTAATCACATGCTTTACCTTATTATGGTTCTTAAAATTGTTAAACTTTGTAACAAACTAATTTCTAAAATAACCTGTATCTTTCTTAATTCATCTGAAATCAAAAGACAAATCAGAACCAATCTTGCGTATATGTCTGTAAATTCAGCAGTTTTATAGACATGGAATTCAATAGCTAAAGTATTTTTCACCTACATATTCTGCAGAATAGAAGATGATAGAGAAACCTTATTTATGCTACCATCTTATTGTATTCAATGATTCAAACATCTCACGGATTAGAAATGTTCACTATCTTTTCTTAGATAAAATTGGCAAATTTACTAATGTTCAGTGAGGAAAGAGCAAATAAGAAATTGTGATTTTAAAAAGCACAGTTTGGATAACCTCGCCTTAACAGACTATGCCAGGGGGAAAGTACTGCTATATGAAAAAGATACACACAAATATGTTCTTCATGGATACCATTAAGAGAAAGTTGTAGAAACATAGCTTGGATTGCCCAGCTTGCAAACATTTAAACAAAAGCCTTCCGAGTTGCCCATTTTGGCATATCTGAAGCATAGCCATTTGCAGTTGCCCCGAGATATGTATAAAGAGAAAGCATAGCTGGTGAATAAAATGTGTATTGGGTAAGTTATAAAATATCTTCATATGTTGTAAAGCAACAAAGATTCTCAAATTCTCTGTTTCATCCACCAAGTACAGAGTTGTTGAACTGTCAATTCTAGCACCTCTGGAATTTCTGATTCCCTCTCCACCAGACACCCAACATCTCCTTTTCTTTCAGTCATTGTAAAACAGCCTCTGTAATACTTGATAGGGAAGTATCCCCCCAAACATCACTAAATGAACATACTTTCCTAAAAGAGGGAAAGCAAACATTGGTCACAATAAAAAGTATGAAGTTCTGGACTTGTTCCAACCCTATGATTCTATGATTATAGAGTCTGCAATAAGCATAGACAAAACATCTATTGGAGTGGAAGTAGGTCTAGAATATGAGAAAACAGCCTTTGACTGTCCATGTGGGCTGGGGAAGCTAGTTAAGACCATTTGTAATGAGCATGCCTCCCTCTTTAAGGATACAGCTCACAAATTTTGGATTATAAATAACCCTCTCATATACTGCTCACTTTCCATTTCTCTCATTATCCAATTACAACAAAGAGGATCCAAGGGATGTGTTTCCAAATTGTGTGTAATGCCTTCATTTAATTCTCATTGAAAAAGTCAGTCAATAACCATCACTGCCAAACTAGCTGATGGCTTGGTTCAGCATGCATCTTTCCTTAGCAAGAACAGTGGGGGGCTTGGGTGAGGACAAGGAAAAGAAAAGGGGTCAGCAGCTAAAAACAATGAAGTTGCTAACCTCAGTTCACCAAAGTCTAATCCAGCCTGTATTATATGGGATAGCGGTAGCTAGTGCTTTTAAAGGTTTGATCCTGGGGCTCAAGAACCCCTCCTGGAACTAAGGTGCCACTGGGACAGGATTTAGGGGCAGACACCCAGAGCCCTCTGCAGAAAAAGATAAGCAGGAGGTCTCCTAAAGACAACAGGGCTGGCAGTTTACTATATTTTGAAGGAAACAAATCAAATCTAAAGCACTGAGGGGTGATTATAAGAACATTAATTTTGGATTCTAATATCGCCTAATTCTACTCCTATTGTAGACCCTATCACAGATATTTAGGCACTGCATTTTGTCACCTACATGTATAGAAATATTTGCCTTGGCTTCTACACCACACATTCTAGAGCAGCGCATTAAAAATAGGCTCTGAAGCAAATTGATTTCTTGAAGTGGGGGGGGGGGGAGTGTAGAGAAAAGGAAGGTTCCACCACTTTTCCTGGGCTTCTGGATCCTGAGAACAGACTTTGGAATCATCATAGGTCAAGACCTCCAGTTTGCTGCTTCTATCAATTCTGCCACTTCTCAGTTTCAATTAATTCATTAATTAATCTTGTCACTGTTCAATAGAAAGGATTTTCTTTTCCTTTCGCAATTTCCTTGGTACAGATTAAATTTAGGGATCTAAATCTAAAGTTCCCTGCCTTCCATCATTTCAAATTTATAAAATAAAACAAAAACATAAATACCCCCCCCCCCCC